ATTATTATTATTATTATTATTATTATTAGCCTTTAATTCACCAGTGAGAGAGAGAAAGGAAAAGTAAGAAAGCAAGCTGTCAGATCTGGGATTCAAACCATGATAAACCGTATGGGAGTCTAGTGCTTCACCACCACACCATCTACTGGCCCCAATTTATTTATTATTACAGGACGTCTGGTTTATTATATTCTAAAATCTCTATCATTAAAAACAGAGAAAGTTGACAGGTCATTTTCATATTTCATACAGGATCATTGTTATTGTCATAGAGTCATAATTTTGAAGTATTCCAGAGTTAAACATTTTTTCTGAGTGTGTTACAGTGCCTGGGAAGGGTTATATGGTACTTGACTTATTTCATAGAACGTCATACCTAGCAGAAGTTAGTCATTCCAGTCAACAAACTCATGGGGTAGACCAATGTAATCTTGGTCAGAGAACCATACTTTTTATTTACTCTCAGGAATTAGCCTCAAATTCTAAAATATTATTTTTATACAGTTAGGGGTTTCTCACTGCACACATGGTAACTAATAGCCTACTGATTTCAATCTTTGGTATGTCCTGAAAGAAATTTCATAAGTAATCTTAATAAAAATTAAGTAGTCTTAATGAAGGTGAGGATTTCATAGAGTAGGTAGATTTGGCAAGATATCAAGTAATGTTCTCTTTAACTCCAGGAGATTAAGATTCAAAGACAAAATTATAGAATGTAACAGCTGAAGAGGGCCTTCAAAATCTTCTCACATAAACTCATTATCTTATAAGATATCCAGAAAGATAGAATGATTTGTCCAAATTTATATAGTAAATTAATGGAACAGGGCTAGAAGTCAAGTCTAGTATTCCTCTATGCAATGTTTCTGTATGAGTGACTTTATGATTAGAAAAGAATGGATTTAAATTAATGTAGGTTATTTGCATAATTTTGATTCATGAGATAAAACTGAGACAACAATAAAGTAAACAAATTGTAGAAACAATAAAACGAATTAGGCTATTTAAGACTGTTGCTGGCCAGATGGCAGCATGGTGTTAAGAAGGTTGGATCCCACATGACATCCCCTAACATCACAGTTCAAGTCCCAGACCTGGCAATATGAAAAACACACTGGGCATGTAGACATTCATATCCAAAGTCTCTAAATAAGGGAGAGATGGAGGAGAAGGGATTTCAGTGTGACCATTTCACATCAATTATTGGGGATGCTTTATTCACTTTCTCTCTTTCTCTCTCTCTGTTGAGAGTATGCACCCTTGGGCAAATTTTCATAGAAAAGGTCTCTTAATTTAATTTAATTTTTTTGGCATTAAATAAGTGATTAAAAGTTGAGCATACACACGTTAGTAGAACAATCAACTATTATTATTATTAAATAAGTGATTAAAAGTTGAGCATACACATGTTAGTAAAAAAATCAACTATTATTATTATTATTTTTTTTGCTATAGAGTGCGTGCGCTCGCCAGACAGACAGAGAGAGACAGAGAGACAGAAAGCGAGAAATCACTCCCCAGGAGGGATGGCCACGCTGCAATCCCTTCTCCTCCATTCTCCTCTCAGGATCTTGGGCACACACTCACACGCGCCCAGCGTGAGTTTAAGCCACCGAGTCCGGGACTTGAACCGCGGTCGACTATGCGGGAGTCCAGCGACATAGCCATTACGCTAACTGCTGGTCCCAACAATCAACTATTCATCCACACAACCATGAGCTCTTGAGACAGAGAGACAACTTAAGTCTTCATCTTTAGTGGGAACAATATGTACAATCCTATCTTTAAAAGAATAGAATGTGAAAAATTATATTCACGATATATTAACAAATGCAAAATGATACTATGCTGATTTTCACCTACAGTTTCATGTCAATCCTAGACTGATATTTACTAACAGTCTTTATATGCAAGCAGATCCATAACCTGATCAGAAGTAAGAGCAGCAGCGGCCCAACAGCAGTGCACCACCCCATCATGTTGGATCCATGCGGAAAATTGTTGGTTTCGTTGCCTGACCGGCTGGGTACATGCACACACACTGTGGTTCTGGCTGGTTGTAAGACTTGGAGAGGCTCATGGCATGAGATGTTTGAGAGTGCTTATTTTTGTGACTTTCTCTCATATGGAAAATAAATAGATAAATAAATAAGTAAACAGAAACAGTAATAGGATCTTTTATGTGTTTACCACTTAACACATAGTAGGCAACCTGACACCATATATAATATTTCACTTAATTAGCAAAACAACCTTACAACATTGGTACGTATAATTTTGATTTTTAAAATGAGGAAACTGAGGCATAGGAAGCTTAACAGAATAGTTCAAGGTTACAGATTGTAATTGTAAAAGGCAAAAGAGTTATACGATCTGAAGATTGTAATTGTAGATTTTAGCTTAGAATCCTGGCATTCTGACGTTAGAGTTTTTATCATTGTTTCTCCACATCAAATATCGACAGTCCACCTTTCAGTGTTTAGGAGGTGCCACTGCAGCTGCAATCTTCTGTGTGCTTGAAAGAACAGGAATTTTTCAACCATAAGTTGAAAAATAGTCACCATGTACAATCAAGTTACTAGCTCTGTCTGTCTCTTAAGAATACTAGAAAATAGACTACATACTTACCATTATTCAGCTGCTTACAAAGTTAATACTTCGTTTTTAGTAGGCTACATGCAAACAATTCCTAGGTGACAAGTTGCTCTAGTCTACATCATTCCACAGTAATAAACCAGGTAACTCCCTCTATAAATCCAGCAATAGCCAAAAATTGTGTTTACTCATTGAATCAAAATTATATGCTGAAACACGTATTAATTCAGCACCCTGTTAAAATGTGCAAGGTAATGCCTCATCCAAAAAAGGGAAGAACTCATGGAGTGTCCTTATTCACAAATGACAGACCTAACATCGCCATCTGACGTACGGAGATTTAGAACCACACAGGTACTCTCTAATTTACCTCACATTGTGAGGTTAATAAAAAGGCTGCTTGCTGAAGACGATTGTGTGAATTCTGGCCTATACAATGCTCTACCTTTGCCCACATAATTTGGCGACAGGACTCAGTGCTTGCAGTGAAAAGTGCTGCCTGTCTTTTTGGTAAAAGCTTTTCAAACATACGATCAACATTATTTTAAAATAATTGAGTCAGTTTGCATCATGTTAATAAGTGGTTTTCTTAAATTTTTTTTTCTTATTTCACAAATGGGTAGCTGAGAAGTAGGCATGATTTTTGTTTTGTTTTGTTTTGTTTTCTTTTATTTCATTGCCCTTTCTGAATCTTGGAAATCTTGGGTTTGTCAAGGTTTCAAAATTATACTCCTTCAGACATTTTGTTATAATCTGAATATATTTTTATTAGCACCTTTCATTCATTCATTTTTCCAAATGCATGTGTAGAGATCTTATTATGTGGCAGCCGGGTACCATGCAGTGTGTTGGCTGTTCAGTGATGAGGAAGATATGTTTCTGTGCACCCACAGTGGAGACGCAAAGGCACAATGAAGAAACAAATGTAATCATTGTAAATTGAGAGAAGCTCTAAAAAAGAGGAAAATAATCAGACACTGGGAATGGAATTATTATTATTATTATTTATTTTTTTATTTTTTTAGTTAGGATGACAGAGAACCACTATAAGAGGTAACTCTTAAGCTGAGACACGAAAGAAGAGAAGAACTGTATATAGAAGGGGAGAAGACAATGAAGGGATAAAACAGACAGGCAGCTTACATGTGCAAAACATGGAGGCAAAGAAAGGACTGGTATGATCAAGGAGCTAAGCATGGCCTGTGAGGAGGGCACATATGTGGCAGAAGGAATTGACAAAGGTTAGAATAAAACAGGCAGCAGCCATTTTGAAAGGTGTTGTAGGAAGAGCTAAGGGGAAAGGACCTTATTGTAAAGGTAGTGTAAATCCCTTCAATACCTTTAATCAGGAAAGTCACAAGCTACAGTGGAAATCTCTTTGCAACGATAAATACAAACGTGGAAAAGAATTAACTGGTTATAATAGGGTTCACGTGGAGGGCATGAGATCTTTTAATATCACATAAGAGTGGTCACTCAAAATTATAAGTAACTCACATGTGTTACAAAGGTATTGTATGCAATTTGAGTACAACTTACAAAGCTGAATATATTCCAATGTGTATTTGAAATATATAATAACCTCAGTTCTTCAAGTATCAAGTGGGTGTTTGTACAGTGCTATTCAGAGTTCCTGGATGTTCCTGAATTTCATCAGACCTGAGAAAGGGACACTAGGATGCTGCATTAATATATTCTGCTCTTTTGCAGTATCTCTCAGTACATTCTAAATTGCATTACAGAAACTGCTGGTAGGTTCTGTGCTCTGAGTATATGACCATGCTAAATATGGGATATTAATACAATAAATGCAGGTGCTGATGTGAACTCAGAAAAAAACACACAATAAACAAAAATGAAAAGCATATGTAAGACAGATTTGTAGAAAAGAACATTCTTAGTCTCTGAGAGACAAAAACACAAGAAAAACACTGGAGTAAAGTACAGTCACAATAAAGAAGTTAAAAACTATTGCTCACTCACAGAAAGAAGTAATAACTTATAAATGGGAGTATGAAGAGTAGCTTCATGAAGAGGATGCATTTAAATATGGCCTTCAAGAAGATGAGGGGAACAAAATGTTAGACAAGAGAGTTGTTGCTAAGGCAATGGTCACGTTCACTTTGTGTGAACAGGAAGAAGGAATGCACTTGCAGAGTCTTTTTATATCCTAACTAGAAAGATCAAGGCCTGAGTTGTACAAGAGTGGGCTCAAGTGGGTCCCTATCTGACTGAACATGTCTTCAGTGTCCTATGACCACATTCTGCGAAGATGGCCTGTCTCAAAGCTCCAGCACTAAATGTTAAGCATTGTTTAATTGGCTGCTTCCACATACATTCTTTGGGTCCTCTTACTAATATGGAGAATGACAGAGACTAAGAGAAAAAATGTTAGCTTGGGTGACAAGTTGGGACTCATATTTTCCAGCCCTACCCTGAATGAGTCATCCTTGTAGCTAACATTAAAGCCATTTTGAAGATTCAAAATGGACTTGCATCTCTGTTAATAAGACATATAACTAAACAAAGTTTTAATGAAATGTCATCCTTCAAATTAGCTTAAGCAATGAGGTGTAAAGGAGTCTTGAGAAGAAGCCAACACCCAGTTCTCTCAGTATATAATCTCCCTAGCAAAGAATTTAATCTTCAAACTGAGCACGTTGGGTCCCTGTGATCAACTTCAGTTAGGGGTTTTAATATGCCCCATAGCGACTACCACTCACTTCGTGCCCCACCACTCTCTGCCATTGAACATGGCTCTAGTCCCACAAGCTTTGAAGATGGATTTTGTTTGCCCAGCAGCTGCTATAGCAGAACCTGGCTCCTCGACAACTTTCAAGACACCTGGAGTGAAGCCACCAGCTGCCAGGTGACCAATTGTGAGCAGGACAGGCTCCCAGAGAATAGCTGTGTGCAAAATACGTGCCTTTCCAGAGTTGTCCAAACAACGTATTCCAATTCCAGGCCCTGTGAAAAGACAACATGCATATCAGGACAATCCTCAGCAGCACTGGAGTGTGTTTCTCAACCTGGCCAGGCAGGAAGCAGCCAACAAAAGGGGTTTATAGTCCAGCGCTGCCAACCTGCAAGCTACTTGGTGAAGTATTGCCCACCCAAGACCTCTGTGTCTAAGAATTGCCAAACTCTGGAATGTGAATCCAGCCAATGCCAATCTCAGAGCCCTGAATCCAGTTCCTGTAGGACTTCAGTTAATGTAGCACCTGGGCCGCAACTCCTGGTAATGCCCAACACTTACGAACCAACTTGCTGTGTTACTGGTGGTTTGCAATTGCCTTAGTGAGTTAAGAATTTGTAAGGGGGGAGCTTATTCCAATTTAGATTAATTCATTTCTGATATTTAGAAACTTTTATTTCTCTAAATATAAAATATTGTGTATGTGTTTGTGAATGAATGAACATGGCTTCTTCTGTTACTGTCTTCAAAGACACGAATACATTTCTGTTGTTCTTTTGGGCATTTCAGAGAGTAAGCTAGAGTTGGAAAACATGTTAACTATTTTAGATCACTATGACACTGTTGGTTAGGGCAATAAGAGTTGCAACTAGGGAATAACATGAGAACTTAAAAAGTTAACATTCCATTTGACTACTAGTCTATCTATGGAAATATTTAGCATTATATTTATTAATTAATATGTCACTAATATCAGAAATCTACAAAATATTGGAGTTAAAGTAGACCTTGAAGCCTACCTAATCCTGTGAATTCTGATACATTCGACACTATCAGAGATTGCCCATGTATTAGTAACATGAGAACTACAACTCCAGTAAAATCTGGGCCTACTCATGGTGATCCACTTTTTGTCCACATCCTTAAGACGTGAATAGCAATTCTCCGTTAGCCAGGAGATGAAATTTACTGCTTAAAAAGTGCAAGAGCATTTGGAATTTCATGCCTACGAGCTTTACAAGCACGTAGTAACCAGAAACCCTAGAGTAGAAAGAGCTCCAGTTTAGTATCTTCATTCCATTCCCACTACTCTACTTCCTGTTTTCATTATCCTTTAAGTGATTTTTGCAATGGGAAAAATGTTCCTTGTCAAAAATAAATTTATTTCACTTGAAATGATAAACTTGTCACTGTATTATTTTTATTCAACCTCTTGGTGAGCTAATTTATGTTATAATGATTTATTTTGTTTTCATTTTTTCACCTAATACAAATGGTATAAATATTTAGAGGGGAAAAAAAAGAACACATCTCCCTACTCTAGTGAGAATGTGAACGTGCGAAGTTTAAAAATTTTTGTCTAGGTAGTTTAGATGAGTGTGCTCTGAAATGAATCTTTCATTTTGGGTGCAACATAATATAGTTGGTAAAAGCCTGGGCTCTGAAAACAGATTCCTTGAGTTAGGATCTTTGTTATGCTGGATGAAGATTGTTTGAAAGAACGCCAACTGTATGACCATGCATAAATTATTTAACCACTCTACACCTCATTTTCCTCAACTTTAGAATTGAGATGATAATGATAGAATAAACAGTTGAAAGTATTCAATACATTATGTTGTAGATAGTAGACATGCAGCAAGATTTAATGACACAGTTCAGAGACTCAGTACAAATGGGTGAAAAAGGTTTGTAAACTAATACAGAAATTTATGACAGATTAAGAAATCTGCTCATCAGAAGTCCTCACCTTTGGGGGTTAGACATGCTCAGAGCCAATTAAGAGGACCTTCAGACTCTTCATTTGTTTCTTTTAGGTTTTCTGTGGGATGCAAAGAAGATGGCAGGTGAAAAAGTAGGGGAACTGGATACTCAGGAAAAGAAACCTGAAGCCGAAAAGCCTGGTGCTAGTGGCAAAGTTAAAAAGGGTGACACCAAGGCTTTAAAAACCCAATAAGGGGAAGTCCCATTGCAGTCGAAACCCTGTCCTCGTCTGATGAGTTGGCAGATACTCCAGATCTGCCATATGTTTCTGGAAGGCCCTGTGCAAGAGGAAATACTCAGCCACTAAATCCAGGATTGAAAAGAAAAAGAAGAGTCTTGCTGCTGTCACAAAACTAGTTGGTGGTGACAAGAATAGTGATACTTGGGTGGTTAAACTGTGCAAAATGCCTAGGTATTAGCCTACTGAAGATGTGCCTCAAAAGCTGTTGCGCCATGGCAAAAAGCTTTCTGTCGACATGTAAGAAAGATGTGAGCTAGCATCACTTCTGGGGCCATTCTGATCATCCTCACTGAATGCCACAGAAGAATAGAGTGATTTTTCTGAATCAGCTGAGCAGTGGCTTGTTACTGGTGACTGGGCCTCTGGTCTTCAATCGAGTTCCACTGTGTAGAACATACCAGAATTTTGTCATTGCCACTTCCACAAAAATTGACATTAACAAAGTAAAAATCACCTCACCGATCCTTAACTTTCTTCAAGAAAAAGAAGTTATGGAAGCCCAGACACCAGGAAGGTGAGCTCTTCAACACAGAGAAGGAAAAATACAAGATTACAAAACAGCGCAAGATTGATCAGAAAGCTGTGGACTTGAAAATTTTACCAAAAATCAAAGCTGTTTCTCAGCTCCAGGGCTACCTGAGATCTGTGTTTGCTCTTACAAATGGAGTTTATTCTCACAAATTGATGTTCTAAATTCTTTGTCAAGAGTCTAATTAGGAACCAGCAGTTGGCATAATGGCTATGTCACTGAACTTCCATGTAGTTGACCGTGGTTTGAGTCCCCGACCTGGTGGCTTAAACTCATGCAGGGCGCATGTACGTGCATGCCCAAGATCCCAAGAGGAGAATGGAGGAGAAGGGATTGTGGCGTGGCCATCCCCACTATGGGGGGTGATTTATAGCCTTCTGTCTCTCTGTCTTTCTGGCAAGCGCATGTGCCCTATAGCAAAAACCTCTCAAAAAAATTTAAAAAGAGTCTAATTAAATAACAAAAACAATTTATTTATGTGTGTGTGTGTGTGTGTGTGTGTGTGTGTGTGTTTGTATATTTATAATTAGACATCTTCTACCTAAGGGATTAATAAACAGCTTTGATTTTTGGTAAAATTTGCAAGTCCACATGCCCTACCCACCTGAAGCAGGCTGACAGTTATCTCTGAATCTATTGTGCAGCTCATGTTATTGGTAATTTACCTGGCAGTTCTGTGGGTAGGAATGATGTGTATTCTGAGTGTGAACTTGACTGAGCCAAGCAGTGCCCAGATTAAACATTATTCTGGATGGGTCTGTGAGCATTTATCAGATGAAATTAGCGTTTACATTGGTGGATTCAGTAAATTGCCCTATCCATTGTGGGTGGGAATTATTCAAGCATTCAGGGCCTAGAAAAAAATATTATTTAACGAGGTATTACATGTCTAGTAATATTTATCTAATATTTATCTCTCGATACTTTATCTCAGTTAATTTTTATAACAGCCTATGCTGCATTTCGAATCCAGGGTAGAGAACCAGAAAAGACCTCCATTACATAAGAAAAGGACTTAAACAGTGTGGAAGAAAACCTGGGTAATCTATGTAGTACTTTCAAAAATGAAGATGGGGTTTTAATTTCTTTGTATTGACTGATATGCATGGTATTCCTTCTGGTAAAAGAAATGTAACACATTGTAAAGTTATATGTGATTCGATGTAATATAAACAAGATTATGATAATACATAAATAAATACATTTAAAAAAAAGTATAGAAACAGCCCAGTGGTACATGCTACAGAATGCTTGTATAGAGCAGTGTCCCAAAATGGTCCCACTTGTGCTAAGCATACAACACCACAGTCTGCAAAACTACATGCTTTGACCAACATGTTTATCTGACTGCTTTCATAGATATTTGTAAACAACATGACTGCTTTTACAGACTTCTGTAAACAGCCTGCTTGAACTACTCAGATAGACTCCTATCACCGCAAACCATGACAAGTCCATAATCCCAGTGGTTGCACAGAATAAGAACATATGGCACATGGGACCAGCAGATGGCAAAACAGTTACATCTCTGGACTCTCACATGGCCAAGTGAGGTTCAATATCAGACCTGGCTGCTTGAAACTCACACCAGGTGCATATGCATGTGTGCCCAAAATCCTGAGCGGAGAATGGAGGAGTAGGGATTGTGGCATGGCCATCCCTGTGGGGTTAGTGATTTTTTACTTTCTGTCCCTCTGTCTCGTTGTCTTTCCAGTGAGCACATGTGTCCCATAGCAAAAATTTCTCTAAAAAGAGAAAGAGAGAGAGAGAGAACAACAACAACAACATTAGTAAAATGGTATATAAACCAGACACTCAGCTCCATGCCATTCATTCTTGGCCATTTCCTGTGCGAACCAGAGCAGCTGCTGTGTTTGAGCACTCACTTTGCAGCTCCCCTTGCTAAGATCTGGATGTGTTGGAACCCTAACAAGAGCGAATTGAACCAGCCATCTTCTCTGAGCACTTTGAGGGATGCCTGGCCCAGAACCTGTTGTGATATCATATTGCTGTGACAACCATTTGACAGAGGATTCATGCTGGCGACTCTATCCTGGTGATGGCCTTGGACAGACACTCAAAGTAGACCTCCCTCATGATGTTGGTGCAGGTACTGGCTTTGAGCAGGCTCACATCTCCTTGTCTTTTACCCAGTTATACTTATATTTGTGCAAGGACATTTGATGTGGATAAAACCTTGACATTGTGGAAAGACACAACTTGAGTAGTACACTAATTTCCCATACTCTCAACAACACTCTTCATAGATCAAGGAACTCCCAGCCTGAGTAGAAAATGTCCAGTAGGATTTATGCATTGGTACCCAAACTCTTCAAGGCCTGAGTGGCTAAGACTTTCTCCATAGAAGACAGTCATAAAGGCTATTAAGAACATTCTCTTGCCTATATGATAACACTGTGCCAAGAGCCATAAAATAGCTCTTATTAATTGGGTGTTTATTATTTGGCAACACTCTGTATACATCTTATCATCTTAAACATGAACAACCTAATAGGATAAGTACTATTTTTAACTTCTATTTTTCCATCGTGAATGAAGGCTCAGATTAAATAAAGTTCCCAGTATGGATAGTAAATGGTGGAACTAAGATATTAACCCATGAGAAGCCCTTTAAAATTTGACTTATAATTCCTGACTACTCTGATTATGTTACATTTCAATAATTAAAGTAGTTTCAAATGTGGAAGAAATATCTATGCTATCTGGAGGGTCTATATATGTCATTTGATTATAGATTATTGGTCTGGCTGCACTGTTGTGAAACTATAGAAGAGACAACCAGAGAACTAAGTACAACTGATTGCTTGGTTTATTTGTAACTTAGAAACA